GTGACCTTGTTGGTATCTGAAATAACCCGTATTATAGCTTTCACCATCATAGCAACACACAACCACCACAGTACCAGAAACTGACAAGACAGGTGGTGATCATGAGATTAGTCTGTGTTGTTTGTATACATATGTGTATTCTGTTACTGTTTCTGTTAATAGCCAAAAAATAACATTTTTTTGGTTTTAAATTTTATACAAATGCTCTTATAAAGGTGTCTGTGTATTTGAAAATTGCTCTTTTTTCATTCATTCTCTCATTTATTTAATAATGAGTACTGTCTATGTCCAAGGAGTAATTGGTGGTAGATAGGGAAGGTTACTTGTTTTAATAGAATTTAACCTTTTAGTGGAGAAAGCATACAGTAAATAAACAAAAATGATAATATCAGATTAAGGGTAAATGCTGTGGAAAGTGATTAAATAGTGTCAGCAGCTAGGGAATAATGTCAGAGTGAGATGTATGCTATTTTAGACAAATTGATCAGCAGATGATACTTTAGCAAGTGAGATTACATGAGTACATGAGATTAAGGAGGTGACATTTTTGCAACCGGATTATAATTGAGTGACTAAACCATTTTAAAATCCGAGAGAATTCCTGGGACGAGGGAATACCAGATGCAACAAATTTGAGATGGAAATGACCTTATAGTAACTGAGAAATGGAAAGAAGCCAATTGTGGAGCGCCATATTAGCTAGAGAGAGAATGATAAGAAATGAGGTTGGAGGAGACATTTAAGGTCAGCAGTTGGAAGTTTCGAACTGTTCTCCAGCAGTTTCACAGGAGAAAGACGAGGCTTTCTGCTTTTGTAAAGATTTACAGCCTGGAAACCCTATAAAGGGTGGCTATGAGTTGGAACCGACTCCACGACATACTACACCACCCCCAGCCTTCAGAAAGGAATCATCTTTTGCTACTGGCATTTTTCCAGACATTACTCCTGCCATTTCACTAGCTGCTCATATTCTGTATTTATCTGTGTAGTGACCCACAGAGGATTTTACCCACTCTAATCAGTGGAGCACTGCTGCAGATCACTTTCACTTATCAGCCAGTTAACAGTACAGAGTGCCTGTAACAGACTGATTTTGGCTTCTGTGGTCTGTTTGTTTTCCCGTAAGATAATGTTCCAAATAATTATAATGCTGTACTAGGAGGGCTGCAGCAATGGTGCCAGGACTATATCTTACCTCTTCTGACCTCAAAAGAGAATGTTGTTGTTACGTACCATCGGGTTGGTCCTGACTCATAACGACCCTATGCATAACAGAATGAAAAACTGCTCAGGCCTAGGCTAACCTCACAATCATTGCTATGTTTGAGCCTTGATGCTTCCACTTGGCCAATCCATCTCATTGGAGGTCTTCCTCTTTTTTTCTGACCCTCCACCTTACCAAACATGATATCCTTCTCTAGTGACTGGTCCCTCCTGACAATATGTCTGAAGTATGAGAGACCTTAGTTTGGTCATCCTTGCCCCCAAAGAGCACTCCGGCTGCGCTTCTTCCAACACAGCCCGTAACTCAAATGCATCAATTCTTGTAAAGGTCTTCCTTATTCACTGTCGAACTTTCGCATGCATATGAGGTTATCGGAAATAACCGTGGCTTGGGTCAGGCTCACCTTAATCTTTTCTTCAACACTTTAGAAAGGTCTTATGCAGCAGTTTTGCCTAATG